TGGTGTCCCGTGCATAACATTTCAAACACCCTGTAAAAAAATATTCGTTAAAGTACTGTACCCATGTAAAAAACTGACCCTCTAAAAAAACTTACCGTGCCAGAAACAGCCATGGAATTCATATGCTGTATGTGTTTCCTCATCATAGCCATCCAAGGAATATTGACCAACAGTCTTCTCGCCACCATTCCGTTTATGTTGAATGTACACGTCATTCTTCTCGGCTGTGTAAGATAACCATTTCAAGGCGATGTTGGATTGTTGATTCCTGGATGATAGCCGTGTGGAGGCAAAATGGCGATGGTGTTTTCTTTAAGGAAATTCGTCCGAAACACGAGATTGCACGCTGACGCAATGGTTAGGCATTTCTCGAACGGGTCAATGTCGGTGACGTCACGGAACAACTCGCGAAATTCAAAGCAACAACGTCGAAGGATATCCACATCGGATCGACAGTAACTCAGGACTTCTTCTCGGAAATTGAACACATAATTGTTCTCCTTCAATTCCTGATGCCATTTCAAAAACGTCTCTTTCTCTGCTGGATTCATTCCATTGGGATGGTAATAAGGACTCGGTGGTAGGGGTCCAACATATTTCTGGTTTTCCTGGGAAATATCCTTTTGCCAGCTCGTTCAAACCAAAGGTCTTGGGAAAATCAGCCAGTCTCATTGGTATGAAACTCAAGGAATCGATGAATTTAATCTTGAGCATAGGTACATACAATGTAAGGATCTTGGCACCACGCATGATGACTTCAGGAATAACACCGTTCTCGTGTAGGTATTGTTGGATGAAATAACCATCGTAGCCTTGGAAATTATGGGCCACCACAATACATCCTTCATGTTCTTTCGTGAACAGCCATTCGCAGAACTCGTTTCTGGTATTATCTCCTTGAAACAACCATTCGTCACCAGCCTCGTTTTGAATTACGCACAAGTTCGGTTCGTGAGTACTATTCTCTTGGATGCACTCGAAATCGAAGAACAGTAGTTCGTTGTATCCGCTTTCGTGGACGTCCTCATCCGCTTCGTCATCACACAAACCAGTCTCACGTGCAGGTTTTTCCTTGACAGGTTGCATGTAGCACTGATGATGATCTTTGATGTCCACGTATTTTTCACAGGTCGAACAACGTTTCAGTCCGCAGTGATGCAAATCAGGCCTCAGTCGAGTCCGATCAAAAACAAGATTACAATGAGGACATTTGGCAGTAGACAAACAGATTGATTTTGCATTTCCTACATTTTGCTTGTGCCGATCGAAACATTCTTGACTTTTAAAAATACGATTATAATCACTACATGAAATCCACGAAACAATAGGACAATTTTGAAAATGGCACAATTTACACGTATCTCCGCATAAATGATTTTTACATAATCATATCCCTTTTTACAAGTATGGCAATACTTTGTACGAGCAACAAAAGCCGGCATGCTTGTAATCACATCGAAATGATTGTCATGCAGAAACAGATAAATTCTTTTCTCTTTATCAGGTCCGAAAAAAATGACCGAATTTTGATGCTCTTTCGAAACAATGTTGATTTGATAATCGGTTAAATACGCTTGAAATTGTTTGACTTGGTCTATACCGCAAGAACCTATAGGAACACTTGCTTTTTCGTGCAAATCATGAGCTAAACGTGTTTGTAGTGAACAGCGAAAATCACTTATAGTTTTATACCGGCTATCGTTTTCAATTTTGGCAATCGAAACAACTAAAGCCCGAGCTAAACATAAATCATCCTTGTTCTGAATACGAACAATTGCCCTTTTATTGATCAAATACTTTTCCAAATTAATTTCACTGCGTTTTGTTCCGGTACCGCCATTGGGCATTCCAACATGGACCAAATTCACTTTGACACTGTCGTTTAGACGAAATTCATGGTTGGATTGAATGACACGCTCAATTTGAGCTAAACCCCGCTCTGTTGTCAAATGAGAAAGAGTCATGAAAGGAAGAGAAATAGGTTTTCAAGCTGAGGTGAATGCAACACAAAACGTACTTGATCATGCTCTGGAATATCTCGTGTAATGGTATTCAACATACTTTCAAATATTCCATGAAGACGGTCGTGGAACTGAGAAAGCTCCAAATGAGCAAACGTGTCCGTGAATTGTACTGTATAATCCACACCTGTCGTGCTGAATTTTTTCACTTTAACTTGCTTAATATTTGTCACGGTAAAAAAGTTATCGCTAACCTCGTCAGTTGCACTGTCATTCACTTCGTCTATGGATCTTTTCTCGCCACGGCCCATTTGTAACAGGGGGTCATCGTTTTGCCATTCAAGCATGAATCTTTCACGTTGTTCCGGTGTCCAGGTGTCCGTAAAGTCAGCCGTAAGCCCCAGCTGCTCATTTTCTACTCTCCATTCAGTTATTCGACGAAAAATTTCCAATTTCCTCTCGAAAAGAATGCGCTGTTCCACTTCATTCAACAAATATAGCCTTTCCAAGGTTGATAATTCAGCTATTGTCTGACACTCGGCAATTTTAACTGCCAAATCCATGTCTATAAAATAAAAATACTTTTGTTTATTTCCTTTCTATGACATACAACAAGCCATGAAGGAACTTAATACTTTTAACAAACTATAGAACTCTGTATCAAGAACTAAAACTTTTATAGTAAAAAGGTATAAATCGTCCGGTATTGTTTTCGAAAAATCATCTAAAATCTAAGTTGCTATGGCAACCGCTTGAAATAACTTCATGATAAATCAACTCTTTTAAAGCAAAACTTCTCGCGAAACGCTTTATTTATGAAAGCTGTAAACAAAACTGTTTTGCCTAAATACCTTTTAACGTTGAAATACAAAGGAACACCTCGTCTGCAAAGTTCTGACCAGTTAATATCTGTGAATAACTATAAACAAAAATCGCGAAACGACAAATATTCAGCAAAGTTCTATCTGTAAAAACTATAAAACAAAAATGCTTTGCCTAAGTTCACATACAAAAAGTTTACCTATATAGTTTGTTAAACAACATACCTTTAAAAGTTGAAAGCAACAAGTCTTTATATTAGAAAAAACCACTCGCGAAACGTCAGTAAAGTTTTCTGTGTGAACAATATATCAAAGCAAATCTTTCAAAGTTCTCTCTGCGAAAGCTGTGTAAACACTACGCTCTTGTAAATTCGAAGACCTCAATTTATACAGTATATTAAATCCTGTTCGAACTGGCATTGTAGCGCTTAATACAAGTATCATATTTTTTACAATAAACATTATGCGACAAATCTTTCGCGACAAATAGTTGCTGACGCCATCTGAAAAGATCACGCGACAAATGTTATGCGACAATGTTCCAAAAATGACGTCACTCTTATCCCTAAAAACGCTGACGTCCTATGGTGGGAAAAATGCTGACGTCATATAGCGGGAAATCACAAGCTCATTAGTATTCCGCTATATGGGGGGTTTCATCTACTCAGAACCACAGTGGGGGGGGGGGAGGGGCGCTGGGTCTTTGCTGTTAAACGAGGTCCACATGGTGAAGAGAAACACAAAGCTCGTTATGTGGCCAAGGGATACTCCCAAGTGGCCGACATAGATTACCATGAAAAATTTTCCCCTACAGCACATTTAAATTCAATTAGAATTCTTATGCAATTAGCAGTTCAACTCAACTTGACCGTACACCAAATGGATGTGAAGTCTGCGTTATTAAATGCACCCATAGATTGCGAGCTATTCGTAGAACAACCTGAAGGCTTTGCAATAGCTGGTAAAGATGGTGAACATCTTGTATATATAAGCTTATAAAGAAATCATTATACGGATTGAAACAAAGCAGTCGGAATTGGAACTATGTTAATTACATTCTTATCTAGTAATAGGCCGCCTAAAAGCCTCTAGTTGTACTGCCACACTAATGAATGTAAAGAAGAATCTTGCCATAAGATTCAAAATGAAAGATTTAGGAAAATTGGCACGGTTTCTTGGCTTAGAGTTAATTTTTGAAGAAGGTACGATTAAAATGAACCAGACACAATATATTACGAAAGTGTTATCAAAATTTAATATGGGGAATTGTAAGCCGAAGTCCACTCCGTGTGAAATGAGTGCCAGTAACTGAGTAAGGTAAGTGAGAGTGATTCAGAATTAGGCAATGTTAGATTATACAGAGAGATTGCAGGAAGCTTGGTTTACATTATGCATAGCCTATCGAAGGGGAGATGGCTGTGAAACTCATTAGAATCACAATATAACTCATCTATGTTGGTCAACGTTTATTCATAAATCTGGTCCTTCACCGTCACGTGTGTATTGTATGTTTACCCAACTAACCAATAGTAATGTTTTAGGAAAGTCACCTATCCGTGACTCGAACAATAGGGAAACTGGAAATTGCTATTGGTGGATTTGGTAAAAATACAATACACACGTGATGGTGAAAGGGCCAGATTTATGAATAACCGTTGACTAACATATAGATGAGTTATATTGTTATTCTAATGAGTTTCACAGCCATCTCCCCTTCGATAGGCTATGCATTATGACCATAGATATATTATGACAGATACTAGACCTGATCTCTGTTACAGCGTAACAAAACTGTCACAATATTTAGCTAAACCAACTCGTATGCATCTGAGTACCGCCAAACATGTATTTGAGGTACTTAAAGGGTACAATAGACAGAAATTTAGTGTATTGAGAAGTCTGAGGAGAGTATAAATCTTACTGGTTTCTGTGACGCAAATTGGGGTGCATCTGAGGATCGGCGTAGTATAACTGATTACGGATTTATGCTTTCAAATGACGGTCCATTGGTTTCATGGAAAAGCCGCAAGCAACCCACGGTTGCATTATCTACTTGCGAAGCTGAGTACATGTCCCTTACTGCTGCGGTTCAGGAGGCAAAATTTCTTTTTCAGTTGTTGGAGAGCATGGTTGATGCCAGCAGAAATATGTTTAGTCCTGTCACTCTCTTTTGTGACAATCAAGGTGCATTAGCTTTAGCTAAAAATCCAATACAACACCAAAGATCCAAACATATAGACATAAGATATCACTATGTTAAGTCTGAAATTCAGAAACAACTGTTAAATTTAGTGTATGTTCCATCTATAGATAATATAGCAGATATATTCACAAAGCCAGTTCCAGGACCTAGAATGAAGACATTTCTAACTGTTATTCTCGGAAAGTAAAAGAACTTAAAGAACTTTACAATAGAGTATTGTACGTGGGGTGTTAGGTCATACCAAGTAGGTCATGTGACTTAGGAAAGACCACGTTGTTGTTTGTAGTTCCTTTTGTAATGTGGTCTTGTAAAAGCTAATAAAATATAAAATCCTCAGTGTATTTTATCCATCGTCATGACAAATACTCTTACTAACATTATATGTACATAATGATCTAATTGCTATAAGCATATACCCTAATCTATTCAGAAGATCTAAGATCAATTTTCATATTTTACAAGGATGACGACATAATATCAATAATGCAAAAGGTTGGCAAACCAAATATTTCGTAATGGTGACAAGCTTACTAACTATCATAAGGTAGTCTAGAAAAATTCATAATTTAACTATCGTAAGGTAATCTAAACGCTTACGACCTAGACAATCATGTGCCTCATTTTCGAATAATCACTTTCAATACAATCCACCAGTTCTATTATTGAATCCTTTTACTCGCTGTATTCACTCCAGAATTGCAACGTGGAATACGTCAACCATCTGGCTTCTATCACTAACACTCGCTGACGTACCAAACGACGAGTATATAATATATATATATGCCTTGTTGTCGTACGAAATCAAATCTCAGACGATTGTGAAAATATGTGATTTATGGAAAACGGAAAAGAAGGCTGTCGGAAAAGTCGCTGGCGAGAAGTGAGTTCGTTGTCTGGGGTACTGTCTAAATTGTTCGCTGCCGCAGGAGCGCTTTCAGCTTGACATTGCTTCTCCAAAGATGTGGCAACACTTGGTCGGAAAGACTCAGTTTTCGAAAGAGAACAATCTTCATCTTCACTTGCTATTGGAGAAGATTCATCTTCGAAAACATTCAAGCGTACTTTAGGTCGTGTTGGTGTCAAATAGCCGTAAAAATCGTCCACAACGCCTTCACAAGCGTTATTTGTGAAGTCATTTACAATCACTTGTGGTCGTTCAGTAGGGCCACCTCTGTCTTCCTTTATAGAACAATTGCCTTTAGTTTTACTATACAAGTCCTTGACTTTGACTTGGTAAGTGGAAGCATCTACCGACCTTTCGATCTAGAAATAAAACTGGATTTACTATCTATTGCCGTTAAAAATGAAACCTAAACTGCCTAGCATTATTGTAACTAATTTCCTTTGAAATGCATTATGGTAGAAATATATTCCCTGCCTGAGATGCTTTGTTCATCAAAATAATGCACTTTGTAGTAGTGTAGTGTGAAGATGTACTGTAGTTTGAACAAAGTAGCAACCTGTAAAACATACGAATTTCGACGTTTTGAGCAACCCAGGTTGAAAACGAGCGCCAAGATGTTGTTTGAAGGTAAACAACATTTTGTTGTTGTTTAAACATCCTATCCTATTTTTTAACAAAGTTTGATTGCCATTAGTTCCTGCACCAGTGAATATTGGTCTGCGATATGTTGGTTGTTGTGCATTATGACCATATTGATACATTTGAGTCGACGACCTTACCTTAGTGTCTTCGTTGACCTTAGGGTCTATGGCAGATACTTCTTCACCTGCAACTCCATGATGTTCGGGGTACACTGGCGTGGTTTGCCAACTCTCTGCACAGTCGCTCTCACCAACCCAAGGATCCAGTAATACTTGCGGATGCTCGGACGTATGCAAGGTTTCATTTATCGGTATTGGGAATGCACGCATGGATCGCTCAAATGGACGTCGACGTTTAGAAGTATTAGATACTGCAGTCTCCGCATGCGTGGTCATAGAACCAGAAGCTGATGATTCTCTGCTTGGACACTCAACTTTTGAGTCAGCCATATTCTCATGAGTTGGGTATTCAAAATGGCTGCTATTACTTGAAGACAAATCACGATGAAAACTGGAATACGACGGACGTTCCTAAAAGGTAATCAAAATTTGTACAGATAAGAAAACGCGGCTACCCTGGGAACCAGATTTTTTTAGAATGTGAAAGCATTAAGCAGGAGAAGAAACATCTAGTTCTAGCAGACCAAGCTCGTAATTTTCACCAGATCAATTCTTTATGCTTCTTAAAACGAGCTAATTGTAGGTCTGAAATAACTAGGATTAGGGTCAGGTTCGATTTGTCAGCTTGCTTAAGCTGTTCAAAGTACGCTTGGCACAGGGCCGTACACAGCAGGGGGAAGGGGGGGGGCAGTTGCCCCCCCCCCCTAGAGAAAACTATATTTACGATTTTTAGAATGTCATTATTAATTATTCTTTTGATATTTGGGACTTTTTTCCGGCATATAGGCCTTACTGCCCCCTGGTGAATAAAATCCTGCGTACGGCTATGGCTTGGCATATAATGCGTATATAGGCTAATTAACAATTATTCACTGAAGTGGAGGTGAATAGCCAACGTACTCCCACCCGCCTGTTGCAACTAATTTCAAAATATTCATGACTGGATAAAACGTAAACAAATTGAATAAAACAGTATACTGTTATGCATTCGGGTAAATTTTAAGAACGAGTCCTGACAGAGCTTGTTGCTCCCTTCATTGTCAAAAAGAAATAAATTCTTTTATCGTGTAGAATTTTGCTTTTCTAGTTGTAAACAATTGAAAAACTATCATATGAGCTCCATGCATAAATCAACATCACTGCATATTGCATATGTTTTACAATCGCAACAACCCTCGCCTCACGTGCCCTTTTGATCCCCATATTGTTTTCCTACACGAGTATGGCTCGATTATCGGCGGCGACCATCGCAAGAAACAAACTGTTTTGCTTCTCGCGACGTCGTCGCCAATGTTCACCGTTCGATGGCAAAGTAAATTTATAAGACGTTGTAAGATAAAGACTAGGTTTAGGAAAAAGCTCGATGGCTACAGTTGCGGCCGTCTCTTTATCTTATAAACAATGTTGGACTCACATTATCACCCTTGTACACATACTCTACATCACTGCCATCTGAGCTGGAACCATCATGTGTCATAGCAGGCATATTTGCTTTGCAAGCTAAATGAGTTAGACGAAATTCTAGGTCGTTTAGCTGCTCGTCCAGTTCCTTGAAAATGTAACTCTAAATGAGGGAGAGAGAATGTACAATTTAGGTAGACAAGCATTAAAGCAAGATTTGAAAATGGTCCATATATATATATATATATATATATATATATATATATATATATATATATATATATATATATATATATATATATATATATATATATATATATATATTAGGTATGATGGTATTTGTTTGGATGGTATTTGTTAAAATAAATGGATTTTCACTATATACAGTGAAGCCCACTCTCCTCCGCAGAGGCTACTAGCATCCCTATTAGTGTATGTGCTTCTAGTCTATATACTTCTATACTATCACTATACTTCTAGTCGTGGTAAGAAGGGTAAATTATTCGGGAAAGGGATAAATGGAAACTCCGCGGGCGAACTAGAAAACATTGTGACAACATTTTTTTTAAATCTCAATGTTTTCTCTGATTCCCTGTTAAGCTCATCCTTGGAAACATTATTGCGGAGTTTGGTTCCCAGGAATCTGAAATGTGTGAGAGAAAATTCAGACCTATGTTTCCCAAGTTAATACTTGGGAAACATAAGCTAGTCTGAATTTTCTTTTTATATTGCGGAAATAATGGCTTGCACTGTTGCACATCTTTGGAATCTGGAAAGATAGGTTGGAAACATTGCTTTCTCAACAATGTCCATGCGCAGGCCATAACTATATAGTTTACCATTGGAACACGTTTTGACGTGTCGTCTTCATCCTTGGGTTCCTGAAGATAGGACCAGAGAAGTGAGAGAATCCTGTAAAAATAAGATCAACCTTTAAAATCTGAACATTCGTGAAGCACGGATGGCAGATGCGGTTTGTACGTTGCCCCTTATACCGCTGAGTTAAGCCTGTTACTGTATTGAAAACGCATGTGGTAGAGTTTGGTTGGCTCTCTTCTGTGGTTCTATAAACTAATCCTTAAACTTTAGTTGACAAGTATTTGTATCATGAGCCTCAGGCTCGGTGAATTTGGCAACAGCAGCATTAACTACTATACCACTAATATTGATACATGCATCAGGTGAAATTCATCGTTCTATCATGCAGATAAACATGTAAATCCTAATTCTTACTATACTGGTTGTAACGTATTGTAAATAATATATCATGCAGTTCGCCTTTCCTTGTGAATGTACCTAATTGTTTAACCAATGAAATTTCAAAGTAAAGATATCGATCAAACCTTGCAACTTATTAGCAAGACAGACAACGATTAAAGTTTAAACAACAATTAAACATGATTTTTTCTGTGTTGGTGTAATGTACTCCTGATTATTCACCTGAGTACATTACACCAACACACTAATATTCACCTGAGTACATTACACCAACACAGAAAAAATCATGATTATTATTAGATAACATTGATATCGAAGGAACTAGATTCTGTTCCGAAATATCACATACTCGAACCGACCAGACCGCGTAGCTCAGTTGGCAGAGCATTGTGCTAGTATTCCAAAGGTCGTAGGTTCGATTCCCACCGTGGTCAGGCATATTTTTCAAGCTTGCCCGGTGTGGATATACACACAGAGTAACATCACAAGCAACAACAATTAAACAATCTAGATTCATGTGGTTCTTGCGCACATACAGTATTGTGTGAATAAATACTGTACAGTACGTGCATGCACATTTTGATCCATGTATGCACAGTACCTTCTCATTTTTCTGAAGAAGTACACTTTGATTGGCATTCTTCTTCTATTCTTGACAGTGAGCAGAAAATTTATTTGAGCTTGACAGAATGCTGCTTTCACCTGAACAAGCAAATATAAAACGTAGTTGCGTCATTTTCTACCAGATGTATTAGATGTCTTTTTCGTCAGTCATCTTGTTTCCTATTGCCAAAATTGACCTTGTAAGGCATTATAGGAGAGATTAAACTTACCAAATTGGAGAATAATATCATACACACACAAAATGCGATGACATAAAGTGCCAATAACATTTGTTGATAAGGTGTATCCACTATGAGGTTGTTAGTACCAGTCCTCCTTAAATACACCATATTTAGCGAAAACGCTTGCAGAAATGTTCCAAACATTTTCAGATGGTCCCCAAATAACAACACACCCATATGTGCAAATCCTACCAAAACTACCAATAATGCGAACTAGAAAAATACAATGGTAAGATTAATTTGAGGCGTTGACAGATGCGAGCTCCCGTGAATACACTGTTCTTGGACATTTACACTTGTTTTTCTTACTGTTCCGGATAGACTAAATCTAAACTATTCCGTACTGTATACATGCATATAATTAGCTTGATATTCAGGCTAGCATAGAATAATATATAAATACATATATTTTATATCCAAGAGCGGATTATTTAGGTTGCTGTTTTTATCGAACGGGTTGATTCACGTGGTACAATCTCCCCTTTCCAGTAATAACCCTGTATGGGATCAATGATTAATAGACCATTACAAAAGAAGTTTCCATTCAGTACTTACTAGGGGAAATAACAGAGTGATGATCACTGATGTAAGTGTTTCAATATGGCAATCAAGAAGTTTGTCTAAACCAATAACGTGACACACTTTAATCAAAACAAAGAACAGCAGGATAGCAATGGAATACTTGAACACCTCCTAAAACATCCAAAATAATAAGGTACTTTTGTGCATGGTAATCCAGCTTAGATAGCGGCAGCGTTTCTTTGAAGAAAAGGCAAATATAGAATAAAGTCACTGATAAAAGTATGCTTTTAAGGCAACCATAGGCTGCATTTCTTAGGCAAATACGCATGCGGGCCAAGCAGTATTCCGATGGGCATTGATCATTGTCTTTCCCATGAGGTTAGACAGGCTAAACTGGTTAGTACGATTTTCCTGGAAGAGACAAATCCAATCCTTATGGTAAAGGATAAAAGGGAAGGAAAAATATTGTATCCCGGAGGGAGTGGTATATTAATTGGCCTATTACTAATTGGACCATGGCGTGTTACCAGTAATTGGACATTGGTTTACTAATTACTTGGCCTGTCACTAATTGGACACCCATGGCATTGGTTTACTAATTGGGCATTAGGTTACCAATGTTCCACTTTACAGAGTGAGAATATTTCGGCACTTATCATCAGTCCAAATGAAATAATTTCAGAAGGTGTTGTTACCGTTCAGGTGGCAGAAGATCGTTCAGAAGGTGTAACGATCTTTTCCATACTGACTATAGAGGCGTAAAATTACCTGATATTTATAAATCATCTGTATATCGTTTACAATGTTTGCTTCAAATTGTTGTCTCAACAGAACGCCCAGCGTGAAGTATCGGTATTTAATCCAAATCCACATTACAACGACAGAGTAGAATGATAGAAACACAATCAAAAACTACACAAAACAAGCATTTTTGTTATTAGTATAGTTCGCTTGATGACAAATTGTGCTCCCATGCATGTATCTGTTTCATTTAGCACAGGTTATAGACTGGGGAGTATTCATCAATAACGTGCTGTGGTTTGTTTGTGCCCCCACCCCCATGCCAGTGGTATACTTAATTCGGTCATTTTTTAAATTACATTGCATATAACCTTCCTTTATAAGTGGATACAGGACTTAACACAAAGTGTTCAAGAACCACAACGCGATGCTACTGCAATTTTAAATCCAACGTGGCAAACAACGTCATTATTCAAATATTTTCCGGGATCCTTAGATGTATGTCGTCAGTTTTCATTTATATACAGCTTCAGGTAGTTTAAGAATACAAAAGAAAGTGATGTAAGAATATCACAATCATGAGACAAGGTGCAGTGCATATAGAAACAGATATACCATTATACCTCAATATTAACTCCAAGACCTGATTGTCCTTTATTGTTTTTGGTACTTGAATATACTAGACGGATAATCAGCAAGACAGGAACCAACGTAAATAATAGCTGACAAGAAAAATTACAATAAATTTTTAATTATTATATCTCCAACCATAAAACCTTTGTATCTTCAAATATTACAGCGCTGCTGTCATACAATTGAGAATGCGAATCTGAATATTGGTGTACAATTCTCGATAGTTTAGCAGAAGAGTTGGTATTGCTATATTTGTTTGAATTGTTTCCGTCTGTTGAACACTGGTGAGTACGAGTGGATGATGTAGTTAGCACGCTGCCTCTTACTGCTGACACAGAATAAAGACATACAGAAGTGTATCTTCTTATTAAAAGTGCGTAAGGGATTTTTTCAGTCCGCCATGTTCTTAGCAAGTGCCCTAAAGAGAGGCAGTCACCCCCCTGAAAACATATTGAAAATTTAATATTCCAGGGGGTGAATGCCTCTCTTTAGGGCACTTGCTAAGAACATGGCCGCCAGCTATTTCGGTGAAAGCGCCTTACGGTTTTGTAATGAAGTTACACTTCTGTATGTCTTTATTCTGTGCTGCTGAGTTAAGCATGATATTGTAGGTCGAAGAGTTGAGGATTAGGGTATTTACTTAGGTTAGGTAAATTCCCTGTGTTGTCATGTAGGTTCTCTCTTTGCTTCGAGGGCTTTTGTCGCCCGGTTTTTCGCCATCACCATAAACTAGTTGTCGAGCACGTACATAGCGTACATTTCTATGCGCATCTCATCAACCTGTATTTGAGGAAGAGGCGCTTACGTATTCGTTCCTGTTGACAATGGCCAATGCTCTCGCACGACTATGGGCACAATATTTTCAATGTTAATACGGTGCATTGTTTTTGTAAGATAGCCTCTACACATTTTTAATATTGACCAGTTCTATTCATACACAATTAATTTGATGGTATCCGCACACGAAGACGGGGGATTAATGAGGAAAATTTGGGTTAGACCGGGTTGTCTTGGAATGACCTGCATTACAATTAACGTAGGACTCGAGTTGTAATTCTGTTAACTACCTGACAAATTGTCTGAAATGATAAAGTACTTGATGTGTCCACATGCAAACCAGCTGTTGTAACACTGACATCACTTTGAACATTCGTAGATGGTACAATCATGTGACTTGACACTTTTATAATGCTATAGAAAGAAAAATTAACCTCATTTGACGGGGCAACAAGTATTTAATTCGCAAAACCAAGGGGCACAGGAAGCAATAAACACCGATGAGAATACACCTTAGAATAATTAAGGCACCTCCCCAGTGTTTTAGTAAGCAATCAGAGACGTACTGCACGCGTGTCTGGCGGTCAGATTTGGCTTCAAGAAAAAGATAAGCAGTTTGCCTAAAGGGAGCAGTTATATTCATTTCACTGTTCACACTGGCCATTTCCGAATTACGGTCAAATGCCAACAGACAATAGCGTGAGAACGAGGCTTCGTAAAGTATAATGTTTGTTTCTAAAGCAAATTTGGCACTGAGCCTCGACCTGGTGTTACTGTTCTTGACAATTAGAGCGTAATTCGGCAATGGTAAATTATACATGCACTAATTGCGCATTAATTACAGGACTATATTATCCGCATTTTACAACATTGCGCAACGAAATTTCGGAATATTACTAATTTTGTGATGCTCTTTCAAGCTGTTATGAAATTTTTGTCTAGACTTGTATGGATCATAATTTTGTTCATTAGGTAATAGGTCCAATTAACTCAGTGATTCGTCGTTGGCCTATACTCCACAAATTTTCGTATTACAATGATTGATAGTTCTTGAGTTATCCTAGTGACAGGCGAACATGGAAACACACAAACAAATTTTGCAGTTGAAAACATGACCGCCTAGCAGAGGTGACAAACAAACCTACAATCCTGGCCAAAACGTTGTGGACAACCCACAGACATTGGCCTCGAATGGCATTTCTCTAAATAAATATGCCCCCACGCTCCCCCAAGTCAGTGTTGAATGAAATTTCTCATCAAACATAAGAAGTGTAGATAATGTGGATATGCATCATCGAAGAGGAGGAGTGGGGGATACACGTGTAAAGTCAAGGTTTAGCGTCCACATGAATTTTGGCCTGGATTGTAGTTGAAACATAACCTCTCAGCGGAGAAACGAGTCACAAACACTGGTCACTTTAAGGCCAACCACAAAACACGTTTTCTTCAGGTTGGTATTTATGCTATCAAACACTATGGGTTTCATCTCAGCTGGTGCCTCGACAAACCTTTCGATGCTTCTATTCATTACAATTTATTTCTATCCCTGCATAATAGGGGGGTTCAGATTTGACTTCTACTACCCACTACCGCTACCTCAGTGGCTCAGCAAGCATTTGATTGGTTAACGCATCAGATTGGTCAATGGCAGCAGTAGTGGTAGTCAAATGTCAGCCTTTCTGATATAGTACTTACACATAGATCTCGGCAGGGACGCCGGAACGATGTGAAGGCAAGGGGGGCAGATTTTCGTGAAAGGGCACTTTTGAATTGATATATACTAAGAGATGTTTGTAAAACATCGGGAGTTGAACTTCGCCTATTCATGTTTTCTATTTATTGGATGACAGGGGTGTGAGGGGGTTCTCTACCAGGCGATTGTGCTATTCTTGAAGCTCGATGACTGCATTTCTTGCGTTTTCTGAAGCAAATTCGTAAAAGAATCGCACTAACATTTCTGACAATTCGCTATTTCGCCAAAGCAATCCTTTAATTTGAAAGGGCACCTTTGCCCCCCTTGCCCCTCCTGGTAAAGGGCAACGGGGGCGGCTGCCCCTCCTGCCCCCCCCCCAAGTTCCGGCGTCCCTGGACCTCGGGAATTCAAAATCAGTGTGCTCATTGTGATTTTTACACTCTACGGCTTACCTGAATACAGTCAATGATGGTGAATAGATGACAAACTTTAGAGAAATATCTGTCACGTATTCATTAAATTTCTCATCGATGGAATGATTTAAACCTAACCAGTTTTTCTTCTGAGATTCGCTAAGATCAATAGCCTTTTCTTCTACCGTTCTTGTACAATGTCTAAAATTAGAATTTTTTACTATATTAGTCACGCTGATGAAATTGGGTGATATAATTAAAATGCAACGAGTTTGTGATCCGTAACAAAATTAGCGGCTTTGGAAATTTTGGGGATGTCAGGATGAACAAATTATACTGTAGCTTTTGAAAATGAACTTATAATCGTTACAAATTAATTTATTTTATTTATTACTATAGTTCTGAATTACAATTGAACATTTTTAGGTGTTCCTCTTACATTGGTGTATCAGGTAATTTTGTGTTTGCCCCCTCTCCAATGTCAGAGGCTCTGCTAAACTGTCACTTCGTGTGCTACGGGCTACAGTTTCCACACGCGAGCCACGCGACGGCACCAGACTATAATAGTCCCTACAGGATTTTGCTAGAGTTTCATGAATACGATAATGCCCCTCTGTGCGGTCGCATCACCATACGTTTGACCGCTGTGTTACTGCGTATATCATAGAAATAATAGATGTTTATTAGGCTACTATATCTATAATATCTATTGTTTCTATAAGGTATATATATATGCGTTTAGGATGTTGTTTTACAATTATTTTATGAGTAATAAAATTAACCAGTTTGACCATGTATGTTAAAAATGCCTTCGCGCTACTGATCGACTCTTCAGGCTCTTTTCCACTCGTCGCATAAACCAACTCGCAAGTTGGCTGCGAGTATATCTTTCATCCAATCACAGCGAGTTTGTAAGTTGGTTTTTGCGATGAGTGCAGGAAAGAGCCTTTCGTTGCAGGTTGACGACTATGGAACAAGTAGTGGATCCAAAAGCCAACAAACGGTTCATGTGTTGCACTAAAATCGTAAGTGTGATAACTCACGGTTTAAGCAGTTAGAGTTTCATTTTCAACCTTCTTAGACAACAAGCACCTTTGCACAATGAATCAAAATAATTTATATATCATTCTACTGATTTGGGTAAATTTCGTAGTCTATAAAATTATATGGCCTATACTAAATCTGCTGTCTTCTCAGATTTGTGATGTGAGGCACAAGCTCAAACCAATAACATGAAAACACAATTGCTCTGGGTGACAAAATTTGTTGCGGTGGAACGGGGGAGGGAGTAACCCCGCTGGTAAATATATACACCCATATAGAAATTAAATGACGGAGTCACTTATACCTTTTAGGTTTATTCGCCAGTGACCCGTTGATTTGATAAGAATTATTGTCCTACAACAAAAACAAATGATCAAAATGAAAAATTCTAACAGTATTTACTGTAAAATACTAGTTACATTACTAATTTTAAGGAAATGTTTTGGTCTAATCACAAATAAATAAAACAGTTTTGGCGTAATGACCATGAATGAATGATGGGAATGCGCACAGGTTAGTCGTTAGTGTATACTTCAATGAATCTGTTGCGATAGGAAGGCCTATACCTTAACTCAGAAAGAGAAGCTGTTATACCTCATAAAATACATTTCACAATACATTCTTTACATAAGCATATATATACACACGTTACGTAATATTTTTAGCATTCCTCATGACGACTCCATTGAACAGTAAGGCATGTTGTGAAGGCGTTGACAAGATATTGTCAAGGTGCTTGAAACTAGCAGACTTTCTATACGTTCTATAGGCAATGGTAAGTAGGGAGAAAGCAATTAGGTTCCTTGAAACCATAGAAAGGAGGCCTTAATTCATAACGTTGTTGTTAAATATAATCAATATATATATAGGCTATATAGCAAAAAATATTACATTGATCATTCACTATTCAGTGTTTACTATATCGAGATTACGCTGTCGAATTCATTTTGTGCCAGCGAACTGGAAATAGCCGTGCATACGGCACATTACAACACATAGACTTACTAATTGGCAATATTTGAACATCATCGTGACTTCGGGATTTCCAACAACTGGATCTTTGCTATGAAATGCTCTCATGGTTAGGGTTTTCTCGTCAAATGTTAGAGTATCAAGAAACTTTTGTGAACTTGATGACCACCACGCCAACAACGAACTCGTATTTATTTGTCTAAACATGAATATAAAAAGTATATTATATATAATCTTTTCCTTTCACCTCCGAGATTGCATGGGTTCGATTCTCGGACTCATGACACTTATGTGAAAAAAGTCAACGCTCTTCCGAAAGTCGTGGGTTTTCTCCGGGTACTCAGGTTTCCTCCCACAGGGAATTAATGTTGAAAGGGTGGGTTGGGATTATCCCCCTAACTGACCCTTCCACCGTAGCTGTGCTCCATGATTAGATATGAGTCATAAGGTGGTGCCATAGGCGCCCTTAGAAAGACTTCGACTCGATCAGGTTGAGCTGCGTCCTTCGTAATTCAGCTTAGCTCTCAGCTGTAAGTAAGGATGATTAGCATACCATTAGAATGTTGTTATTTTAGGGTGACCTGACCTGACCAGGAACGACTGCGAAAAATGCAGCACAAAAGCCTGTTTTCCACTTCAACCGTAACGTACCGTAGCATTTTCTTTTGTGTCATTAGTTCCACACTACCGCTCAGGAAACAAAGAAATACGTCACGTTTCGGTACGATTGAAGTGGAAAACTGGCTTTACATACATACTTACATACATACCTAAAGGTCATATCATGTTCATAGAAATAATACATTATATGCAGTAGACTGCAAGCTCCTGTCTATACATGCATGTTTTCTTACTTGAGAATACCACAAAAAGCCCAACTATATAGTATATCCTTGGCCACAAAAGGGTGACTATATAACTCCGATGTCAGACTCCCTTGGAGATTATGGAATAAATTAAAAATCCCCACTATGGCTGACTTATACAAATTCTACATCTCTATTTATATGACTGTATTAAATTAATTTAATAGAATCATACAAATATATAAATAATTTAACGTGGGATAAGCGAGGAGTAACCTGGAATCGCATGAAAAAATATTGCGCATTCGCTAAAGCACTATATATATATATATATATATATATATATATATATATATATATATATATATATATATATATATATATATATATATATATATATATATATATATATATATATATATATATATATATATATATATATATATATATATATATATGGTATATATTACCTGCTGAAAAAGGTTTTCAATCCATTATTATGGTCGAAAATTAATTTCTGGTTCCAAAATGGATTCAAAGAATACAAGAAAACCAGCAACAGGCAATACATTAGAACATCTCTACAAAAAAGTAATGATCGATCGAGGGCTTTTTAAACGTAGAATTTTTATGATCTGATGATCAAAGTTAGATACAATACAGCCTATATACGACAAATTTAAAGTTAGTTACACATTGAGCCTGTGGTTGGAATCAACACCAATTCGTGATCAGAATTATAACACAGAGATGTTTCAAATAACTGGGTTTTCAAAATTGCCAATTATTTGAGCGATTAAGGCATTTTAATGCCTTAAAAATAAAAAAAATATAAAAGTACTTAAAAAAAAACTTAATGAAAAAAATACTTAATGCCCGTAAAAATACTTAATGCCCGTTCAAACGAGTCCAGCATCATCCATCACTGCTGGACCAACAATGTTGGACGATGTTGAACAATGTTGGAGGAGCGTGGCCAATTAATGATCAGGCGTAATCGTTAAATGCCAATGACCATGCGTTGTTGCACAATGGTTGGATGAAAATGTTAAACGAAGTCAAACCATAGTCTATCAACATCTGATATGATGATCTGGAAACTAAATAGAAGTGTTTGTTAATATATGTTTTTGTCTGAGTTTATGTTAATTTGTTTTTTCGTATTTTCGTATAATTAAGTAACCGTCCAATAGGGATGGCTGAGAAGAAACGTAAAGCCACGATGAATAATATTTAATGAGTGGACGACGATATTATTGAACGATTTGTGCACGGTGAGGGTACATGCAGTAATTGCAGTTCAACATCAAACAAAGGTCTTCTATTTTGTAGCTTTGAAGTTTGCCCAGCTTTCAGATCATCATATCTTACTGTCGTTCCAATTGAAGTGTTGCTCAAATATTGATTCAATACATTACCTCGGGCTGACCCAGCCTACTCCCAGGCTCTCTCCCTATTCGCTGCTTTGATATATTGAAATAAGTCTTAAAAGTTTTATGCCTGGGTGTGCTGTGCGGAACGCTTCAGCGAGAGAGCCTAGCAGATTTCGGTAAAATGGTCCCTGATTTCAAAAAAGTGGGCCCTGGCCTGGTTACCAAGCATACCTCAATTGTAAATGGAAAATGTTATGGAAATTTCCTTTGCATATATAATGAGTCATTAGTTTTGCTCTAATGCTGTCGGAACAATGAAGTAGGCTACGTTTCGCTGCCATCCGGTCAGAATGGAATAACGGGCTAAATATGACTCGTGTTTACTAAAATTGAAAATTATGCCGAGTCTCCGACTAAGAATGTTTTGACAACACCGTCATGTCAAGTAGAAAGCGTAGTTGTGTATACTAGTATGGTCTAGTGTTGATCACAACTTGCGAGTACATAAATAACATCAACGATTGCTCAAACTCGGTATCGTAAATTTGTATATAATTTTTTTTAGTTTAGCACATTTTTAATACAGTTTGATTTGGTCATGTAGACATCGAACATGTACATGATGAACGAACATTGTCGTATTTATAATTAAAAGGTTACTTGTATATATAAATTTTTCGCCATATTAAAAATACTGAAATCTGCTAGGCTTTCTGAAGCACCTTGAGCGGTGACGTCACACCTAGGTCCCAGTCTTGTTGTACATCCACTTTTTTCTCGCGCTTGCTTCAGAACGACTGGGACTAGGCTGGGGCTGACCGATTCATTTCATCAAGTTCCTCGAGATATTCACACACTTCCTAGTATAATTGTAAACTTCCTGTTGAATAGTTTGAATGCTCCAATCACATTTGTTGTTTGTGCAACTAACCAATCATAAATAGAAAGGAAGTGACCAGAAATGATCAAATACTTGGAATTGGCTCTTTCACAGGAAGTGTATGAATATCTCGAGGAACTTGATCAAATGAATTGGTCAGCCCGAGGTAATGTATTGAATCAATATTGGAGCAACACTTCAATTGGAACGACAGTAATAGACTATGGTCAAACTTGCATGATCCGGCAAATAGTTTAGGGCCAACATGCATGTTAGCCTCTTTTGAACGGCCGGCTTTAACGTAAAATGACAAGTTATAAAATGATTTTGCTCTCACTGTAAAAAATGACTTATATTATATATAGTAGTAAAACGGTGATTTACCTTAAAAATATTACTGTTGTTTTTCGCTTCTGCACCTTACATCTTGTCCTGGTAACAACTTTTCTTGAAAGTGGTTGCAAATATTTGAGGCAAAACAACTTTCGATAAAGAGGCTGCGAGTAAAAAACCGGAGACCACTGGTTAGCTCAGATATATTTTATATAGATGAGTATCCGTTTGTAAAGCGGGAAGGGACACTAACTCCAAAATACGATTTTTTGGTATATGCAACATATTTGGATTAGGAAGAAATGTACTATATTCTTCCCGGTAAGATGTCATTAGATGAATTTGTATAGC